TTGGATTGAGAAATACCTGTGGGTGTGTCTGTAAGGATATTTTCAGAGATGATTGATCATGAGGGTTATGACCAAAGGGATAGTTTAATTCAATGGTGGATTCAAAATGTGAAAAGATTATTGGGAGGAGGTATAATTTCCTCCCTGGTTGGAGGAAGTAGGTCACTGGGGTGTGTCTTCTAGGGCATAGCTTTCTCTCACCCCTTTCTGTTGCTTCTCTCTGCTTTCTGGCCACTATAAAGTGAAAAAGTTCCTCTGCCACAAGCTCCCGCCATGATTTTCTGCCCAAGAGCATGGAACCCTCTTAGATCATGAGCTAAAATAAATTCTTCTTCTTTTAAATTGTTTCTGTCAGGTATTTTGATCATAGCCATGCAAAAGTAACTAATACACTTGCTAAAAGTCTTCAAGAATGAAGTGATCAGATTGACTTACCTGTAGGAGAGTAAAATATTTTTAATTAAGCTTTACATCTCATAGTAAAAATTTTTACTTAATTAAAAAATTAAAGGCCAGGCACCAGTGGCTCACACCTGCAATCCTACCTACTCAGGAGGCCGAGATCAGGAGGATCGTGGCTCAAAACAGCCTGGGCAAATAGTTTGCAAGACCCCATCTCAAAAAAACTCTTCACCAAAAAGGGCTGGTGGAGCAACTCAACGTGTAGACCCTGAGTTCAAACACTAGTACTGCAAAAAAAAAAATAGATATGTGATTTATTTTTATTTTATTTTCTAGTTTAAATTTTTTTCTTAAAAAATTTGGAGGCTTCTTAAAAATCTAAACATAGACCTGCCATATGATCCAGCAATCCCACTCCTGGGGATATACTCAAAGGAATGTGACACAGGTTACTCCAGAGGCACCTGCACACCCATGTTTATTGCAGCACTATTCACAATAGCCAAGTTATGGAAACAATCAAGATGCCCCACTATTGATGAATGAATCAAGAAAATGTGGTGTCTGTACACAGTGGATTTTACTCAGCCATGAAGAAGAATGAAATTTTATCATTTGAAGGTAAATGGATGGAACTAGAGAACATCATTCTGAGCGAGGTCAGCCAAGCTCAGAAGACCAAAAATTGTATGTTCTCCCCATATGCGAACTTTAGATCTAGGGCAAATGCAGCAATGTGGTTGGACTGGGACCACATGACAAGGGGAGAGCACATTGGGGTGATATAGAAATAGGTAGAAAACCCAAAACATGAAAGTTTGATGTCCCCACTCCAGAGGAGCTAATACAGAAATCTTAAACCAACAGAGGTTATCATGAGAAGGGGATCAGTAACCAGGGTAAAGATCAGTTAGAGATGAATCAACATGGGTCATAACATGTGTACACGAAAGCAATGCTAGGAATATTTCTGTATAGCTATCCGTAACTCAACTAGCAAAAACAATTTATCTTCCTTATTAGGCTTTTATCTTTTCTTCAACAAAACTAGTGATAAAGGCAGAACAGGACCTGCCTGGAACTGAGCGGGGAAGGGGGGAGAGGTTGGGGGAGGGGGGCAGGGGGGAAAATGACCCAAACAATATACGCACATGTGAATAAAAGAATAATAAAAATATAAATATTTATTTTCTTAGATAGTCAATGCATTCAGTGTACAAAAGATATAGTATAAGAGTTTCTATCTTACCTTGCCTTAGTCACCCAGTTATCTTTCCTTGAGACAGTTAATAGTAGGTGCTTCTTGTGTACTTTTCCAAGTTATTCTATGTATAAATTATAATTTCAATGTTTTAATTCTGATAATATGCATTAAAATAGAAAATTCATTACTTTTAAGGTAAAAAAATTTTTTTTTTGCAGTATTGGGGTTTGAACTCAGGGTCTGCACCTTGAGTCACTCCACCAGCCCTTTCTTGTGATGGGGTTTTTCGAGATAGAGTCTTGTGAACTATTTACCTGGGCTGGCTTTGAACCGTGATCCTCCTGATGTCTGCCTCCTGAGTAGCTAAGATTACAGGCATGAGCCACTGGTGCCCAGTTCGGGTAAATTTTAAATTAAATATTGAAAGCTTTCTTGGACAAGTATACTCAATACTATATAAATATCCATATTATTTCATAGTATGTTTTCACATCTAGTTTATTCTGACCATTAATTTGTGCTTGAAGCTAGTGAAAGTTTTACTTCCTTACCTGTCTACCTTTCTTTATCATCCTTTCTCCAAAACTAAGTGTTTAGAAGTAGAGTAGGAAGATGATGCTTACAAACTATCAGTGATTTTATGTATTACTACATTTGATATGAAAAAGAGCAGGCTTAGAAATGCGCCTACAGAACTGAGATTGAAAGCTGTTGTTGGGTTCTAGTGATGCCCTTGCCCTTGCTGTCAGCTCCTCTGAGATGGCAGTAAGCTGATGTACTTAACGATGTGACTAGTGAAAATGCTACAGATTGTAGTTCAGAACGAGTCTCTATTGGCATTGGGCAAGTCGTTTAACTTTTCTGGAATTAGAATTCTTTTTCTACAAAAATCAGACCTAGGTTCCAAGGTTAATACTGTTTTTCAGATTCTTTACTGAAAAAGAAAATTCTTTTCCTGAGGTATATGTTTTGGTCTTCTTTGGCAGGACTGGGGTTTGAACTCAGGATTTCATACTTGCAAAACAGGCATTCTACTGCTGAAGCTACACCTCCAGACCCTGATCTGTACGTTTTGACCTAATAAAATATTTCTGTACTGCATCATTCACAGACAGCCCCCTCAGTGGTCTAGAAATGCCTATTTTCCTTTTGAGATTTTTCTTCTTTTTATAAAAATAAAAGTTCAAAAACTTTTTGTTATATACTACAGGAATCTTTAGAAAAATAAAGAGCAATGCCCAACAGGGAATGATTTATAAGAATGCTTTGGATTTGATTGTCACCTCATTATTATTTGGTCACATTTAATAAGGCTAGACTCATCTCAGGCAGTTGTGATGAACCTGACATGACTCATTGATCTGTGAATATCGATTCGGAGCAATCAATGGACAACTAAAAGAAATGCGCCCAAACTCCCTATAATTATTCACAAGCAAAAAATGGAAAATTCTCCTTTATTTTACTTTTCATTTCCAAATGTGATACCATGGGAGGGGCCCCAGGTTGGTGTCAACTAGAAAACATACTACACAAAATTTCAAAGCACCCAAAGACATTTTGAACATTGGGGAAAAATTAGATCAGATTACATTAATCGGAATTACTGTTCTCATTTTGAGCTGACGCCCCACAGTCATCTGACCAGAGCCTGTGTATCTGCAACCAGCAGCCTTGTTCCACTCATTAGCCACACACGGTGCGATGTCAAGACTCTGCAGGCTCCACTGTAATTTCCTCATCTGCCCATAAGGTAAGTAGTAAATATGTGGACTGTCTTGCTTCTGAGAAATATACAGGAAATCCCTGTTGAGGTAGGAAGATTAAGATCTACAATTAAATGTAGGCAAGGATTACCAGCTTGTTAAGTAGAAGATGCTAAATCAATATTTGTTAATAAAAATTTCAAGAATATTTCTAGGACCTGCAGTCATTTAATGGTAAAAAGAAGTTCTTTTTAGGAAACTTAAGACTACTTGTCTAAAGGAACTTGCTCCTCAATTCCAATATGTAGGTTGTATTTCTGTCTTTCATAAAAGCCAAGTTTTCCTTTACTGGCTATTGAAAAATAATAATTTCCACATTTAAAAGAGACTGTAAAAAGAAGCATTATATCTTTAAGGATTGCCAAAAGGAGACTAAGTTATTTGAAATTAGTTAAATTTCCAACCTCAGAATTTTTATGTATAATAGTAGCTCTAGAGGTTTTTTTTAAGTGTTAAAAGAATCTTAAAAAAAAAGAACAATTTTTAGAAGAATAATTATGAGAAAAGATCTACATCTTTAAGACAGGATAGACATTAAGAGATTCAGTTAATTAGGTATGAGTGCAAAATTCTTAAATCTAACTTTTTATTTTCAATTAACATATATGACTGCATTCTTAAATTTACATTAGAAGAATTCGCTAGTATATAACATAAAATGTAAAAGCCTCATTATAGCCTCTTCCAAATTATGAAAGGCAAACAGGAGTGGTAGAACATTCCTGTAATCCCAGCACTCAGGAGGTGGAGGGAAGAAGATCACAAGTGCAAAGCCAATCTGGGCTATATAGTGAGACTGTCTCAAAAAAAAGAAAAAAACCCTTAAGGTATGAGAGCCATCTACTACTTTTTAAATTTTATTAAAATCTTTCTTTTTTCACATGCATACACAATCAGGTAAAATTTACATAAAGGTACACACTAGATAAAATTAGTCCTATTTTCTTAGAGGTCTTTTTTTTTCTCTCCTGTTTGTTTTTTGCCTCTCCCTTTTCCCCTTCAAATTCTCTGTCCAACCTTCTTACCTGCCACACACCTGAGGCAGTCTATGTTAACTTCCTGGTACCTGTTTTTCTGGATATTTTTTCTCCATGCTCACATAGTCATACATCTCATCTACACATGCATATGCACATTTATTGCATTTTGCACCATCATTTACCATCTCACATTAAACCTATGGATTAATAAATTTTGAGATTATTGACATCTTTACAATATGAGTTTTCCATATTTATTTAATGGTGACAGACCATTAAATATTTAAATAGTGATGTGCATGCATGTGTGCATTTATATTTGGCATTCTCTCCTGCTTTGTTATCAATGACACCTCCCTCATGGCTTTCCTACTCCATCTTTTTGACCATTTCTCATTTTTATTTGTAGACTTTTTTTCTGCTGTTTCTTGGGGTTCTTTCATTGGTTTGCATTTTCTTCTTGTCTTGGACTCTTCCTGTTTAATCAAGCCTGGACCAGAGATATTAGGGCTGCCAAATCCTTCATAGTTTTTTGCTGACATGAAAAAAAGAACATGTGCTATTTAGTAGCATGAGTCTTCATAAAGTATATCTCTGTGTATAATTAACCACAGTGTTTTCTGCATATTTCAGGGTTAGTCTCAGACTATGGGGGACTGGAACTTACTGGGTGGTGTCCTAGAGGAAGTTCACTCACATTCAACCATCGTGGGGAAAATCTGGCTGACCACCCTCTTCATCTTCCGAATGCTGGTACTTGGTGTGGCTGCTGAAGATGTATGGGATGATGAACAGTCAGCATTTGCCTGCAACACTCAGCAGCCAGGCTGCAGTAATATATGTTATGACTATGCTTTCCCAATCTCTTTGATCAGATTCTGGGTCTTACAGATCATTTTTGTGTCTTCTCCTTCTCTGGTGTATATGGGCCATGCACTTTATAGACTGAGGGACTTTGAGAAAGAGAGACGGAGGAAGAAGTCATACCTGAGGGTCCAAATAGAGAACCCAGGGCTTGGCTTGGAGGAACAGCAAAGGCTGGATCGGGAACTTAGAAGGCTAGAGGAGCAGAAGAGGATTGATAAAGTTCCTCTGAAAGGATGTCTGCTGCGTACTTACGTCTTACACATCTTGACCAGGTCTGTGCTGGAAGTAGGCTTCATGGTAGGCCAGTATATTCTCTATGGCTTTCAAATGCACCCCCTTTATAAGTGCACCCAGCCTCCTTGCCCCAATGCGGTGGACTGCTTTGTGTCCAGACCCACAGAGAAGACCATTTTCATGCTCTTTATGCACAGCATTGCAGCAATCTCCTTGTTACTCAATATACTGGAGATATTTCATCTGGGCATTAGAAAAATCATGAGGGCACTTTATGAGAAATCCAGCAGTGGGGGCATTGAGAATGAAAGAAGCCCTCCATTTCACTTGAAGAAATATTCAGGGGCCCAACCGTGTACAATATGCTCTTCCTTACCTGAAAGAATCTCTCTGCTTCAAGCCAACAATCAACAGCAAGTCATCCAAGTTGAAGTGCCAAAGTCTAAAACATTGTGGCAAATTCCACAGCCCAGGCAACTTGAGGTAGATTCCTCCTGTAGCAAAAGACACTGGGCTGAGAAGGATCAGCACAGTGGACAGCTCCATGTCCACAGTGCATGTCCCCAGGACGGTAGCACCAGAATTCAGCACCCAGGACAGCAACCATGCCATTCTTCCTTTGGCCTACAGAGTACTATGTCCCAGTCCTGGCTAGGTACAGGAATGGCCTCTAGACACTGTCCATCCTATGCTTTAGGGACCTGGAAGAAATCCCAAGACTTGGAACCTTCAAGCGAACCTCTCACATATCTGCAAAGTCACTGCAAAGACAGTGATGGCAGCATGGGAGAGAGTGGGGTCTGGATAGACAGATCTCACCCAGGCAGTCGCAAGGCCAGCTTTCTGTCCAGATTGCTGTCTGAAAAGGGACAGCTGCACAGTGACTCTGGAAGCTCCATTTCTCTAAATAGCTCCTGCTCGGATTTTCCACACCAGGAAAACAGCACCTCACCTCTGCCTTCAGCCACTGGACATAGAACATCGATGGTAAGTAGATAGACAGCCATATTTTTTTTGTGGTATTGGGGTTTGAACTCAGGGCTTCATGCTTGCTAGACAGGTGTTCTACCACTTGAACCATGCCTCCAGTTCAAGACAGCCATATTGATCACAGAACTATCACAAGAGCTGATTCACTCTTGCCACTTCTTTCCCTTTCCTCTTTCTCAGTGTGTATGTATTAAGGGAGAGGTAGATGGAGGAAAAGATTAATTTATAGAAAGGCAAATTCATTCATTCAATACATTCAGTTAAATTCACTCAATTAATAAAGTGAACTTAAGGAAAATTACTTTATACCAATCATGCTATATGATGGATGTACAAATAGATAAAATACTGTATTTTCCATCAAAGAGATCAGAGTTTAGATGGGAAAGTTAGACACATAAACATGTAAGTGTGGTCTAGAGTAAGGTGCCATGTTAGTGGGAGTAGAGAAGATAAGGAAGGAGTGGTCACTTCTCGGTGAATGGGTCAGAGGAAGCTTCACAGTTGAAGTTACTTTGAACTGAATCTTGAAAGATGTGGTGAGTTTCTCCAGAACTGGGAAGACTGGTGTACATGGAAGAAAGCCATACTGGAAGAAAATGTAGCAGAGACAAATGCACAGCAGGGCTCTCTGGTGAGCAGCTGTGGGTGGCTGGAGCAGGGCTGTGGAGAGGGAGAAGGCTGGAAGAATGGGCATGGTGGTCTTGTAGGAAGGCCACAGAGATCCAACAGAGGATTTGAAGCAGACAAGGGACTGGACCAAGACAGAAAGCTCTTTCTGTCTCAGTGTAGATAGTGGATAGGGGAGGGATATTCATAAGCTTGAGTTCCTTTGTCTCTCTAAGGAAGGAGGGTATGCACCATTATTTTAATACCTCTGGCATTTAAAAGTCATATACAAATAAAATAGTGGTATGTTTTACAAAGACTAAGATCAATATTGTATTGATTTAAATTTTGTTCTCTGAAAAGTCATTGTGAGATCAGCATTCCCCAACTATTATAAAACATCATGGATATTTACTGTAGATTTTTCTCAGTAAAATCTGGAACAAAGGATGACATTTGTTTTACCACTGATTTTAACAGTCAGCTTTTCTTCTTCCATTAAGAAACTCTCTCAAGTTTGGTGGAAGAGCTTCCTAGTTCAATTCACCTGGTTGAGTTCACATTCATTTCTTCCTTTGTTTTATTCCTTGCGTTGACAATAAGCGAAGTCTTCCCCCTCAGTTTCTTATCTCCCATGTGTTTACAGATACAGTTGTTACTGCACTAAACCTATACCTTGAATAAGAATCAGCCTACTTGGAGTGTTACTAAAATAGTTTTCTTAAACCAATACTTGTTTCTTGTCAGTGATGACCATCTATCTATGCCGGAGACTATGTTTAGGATTAATTAATGTGTGAGATCTTGGAACCCTCAACCAAATTAGAGTGTGTGTGTGGGGGTCTCCGTCCTGACCACACCTGAAAGCCATCTGGTGGGACTAAAAGAAAGTCATCTGGGATTAAAGAGTCTTCATGCCCAGGATCCATCACTTCCAGTGAAAACAGAATACAATGTGCAGTCAGGGTTTAAAATCACTGTTTCCAAGTAATTTTTCCAGCAAGTATCTCGTTTTAGAAAAGAAGTGAAGTCAGCAAGAAAACTTCCTGTATCCCCTTCCATTTAAGTCTCTGTTTGGCAGGGAATTGAGGAGAGAAGCCATGTTGTAGTTGAGACAGGTTTTTTTGTGTTTTTTTTTTTTTAAATCCTTCAGCTACTTTTTGGAAGAAGATTGCCAAGTTCAGAAGCCTGAACTTTTCGATGACACTCATGGTCTATCTTTCTTTTTTTTTCCTGTATGAACTTTATAATATCAACAAATATAAATAAGAGACCCAAATAATTTGCATAGAGCTGAGAGGTCAGCTTAGTAGTAAAATGCTTGCCTAGCATGAACATGGCCTTGGGTTTGATCCCCAGCACTAGAAAAAAAGAATCAGCATAGGGATGTCTGGTCAGGCATTGTATTAGTTTTCATAAAACACACAAGGCAGGCTAACTTTATAAAGAAAAAGGTTTACTTAACTGATAGTCCTAGAGATTCAAGGCATGGTACTTGGGTGAGGGCCCTCCTGGCTGTAGTCCCTCATGATGGAGGTGTATGGGTGCATGTGCAAGGAATGATCACGTCTTCTCTCTTCTCTCTCTTCCTCTCTTTTTCTTTCTTTCCTTTCTTCCTTTCTTCCCTTCCCCCCTCTCTTTCTTTCTTTTTTCTTCTTTCTTTTGGTAGTACTGTGGTTTGAACGCAGGGCCTGTGCTTGCTGGGGCAGGTGCTTTCTCACTTGAGTTTCAGCCCGTCTAGGAATGAAACAGAAGCCAGAGAGAGGCTGGGTTCCCATAATCCCTTCCCCTGTCATCCTCCTCATTGTCCTGGTTCTCTTCATCCCCTCCTCCTCCTCCTTTTCTTCTTCCTCTCCCTCCCTTCCCCCTCTTTGTTCTCCTTTGTCTTCTGTTTTTTTGAGACAGAGTCTCACAATGCAGCCCAGGCCTTTCTCAAACTCACTATGTACCCCTGGCTGGTCACAAATTCACTGTCCTCTCAGGTGCTGGGATTACATCTGTGCCACCACTCCTGGTTTTCCCATAATCCCTTCTGAGGCACCCCTCCAACTGGCCTAGTAACCTCCCCCTAGGCCTCTCCTCATTGTGGTCCATGCCACCTCCTACACTGCCACTCTGCCACATTAAGTTTTCAACACACAAAGCTTTGGGGACAAACAACATCCAATCCACAGCTGGCATGTTTGACGCTGAATGTTATAATGGTTTTTAGTTAATAAATTTAATTTTTTAGAGATATTTTAGGTTCACAGCAAAGTTACATGGAAATAAATTTCTGTTCCCCTAAATCCCCTGTATTGACATTCTGCACCAGAGTGCTGCAAATGTCACAGCTGATAAACCTGCAGTGACATGATTATCACTCAAAGTCTGTATTTTACATTTGGGCTCACTCTTGGTGTACATTCTATGGGTTGTGACAAATGAGCCTACCATTATAATATTGTACAGAATAATGTCCCTGTCCTAAGCATCCTCTGCATTCCAACTATTCATCCTTCCTCTCCCTCCCCGGAAGCTACTGATTTTTTACTGTCTCCATAGTCTTGTCTTTTCTGGATTGTCACATAGTAGGAATCATATAGTGTGTAGTCTTGGCAGATTGGTTTTTTTCACTTAGCAATAGGAATTTAAGTTTTCCCCATGTCTTTTAAAGGCAGGTCATTTCTTTTTTTTTTTTATCACTGAATAAGATTTTATCATCTGAATGTGCAACAGTTTATTTGTCTACTCACCTACTGAAGTACATATCAGTTGCATCCAAGTTTTAGAAATTTTGAATAAAGCTGCTACAAACACCCATGTCTAGATTTTTGTGTTGATATAATTTTTAGTTCAATGGGTAAATACCAAGAAGTACAGAAAACTGCAGGGTCAGATGTGGCTGCTTGTGGATTTCTGTTTGGGAAGATGTGGTTTTCTGTGTCACCTGTCTCTTGACTTTTGGGAGCAATGGTTTTCCTTGTGACCTCTCTTCTCTGACCAATATAAAGAATTTTTGATTTTTCAAGTTTGTTCAGCTTTTTTGTTTTTGTTAGTACAAAGTGGCTATTTCTTTTCTTTTTTCTTTTTGGATAAGAGACTTTTTAATTTCTGGTTCCTTCTAATTACTTGTTAGTGGTATGTTTTGGTTTTCTATTTCTTTTTTATTGGTGGATATTATATTGTGCATAGGAAGGGAGCCCATCATTTCTAAGCTCTTAACATGCTGGACTAGAGCCATCTTTTGTATTTTGTTTTTCTCTTTTTTCTCTGGCATTTATGTTTCTAAGAATAATGTCTAGTAATAGTCATCTCTTGCCCAAGTCTGTTTTAGTGTCAAAAGGCCATATCAATCCCCCAATACTGGGAAGACTTGAAGATTGAGGCCACAGCTGTCAAGGGCACAGCTGTCAACTCCAGACACGTGATGCTTCTTGCAAACAGAGGGATCTCTAATTAAAAATTTGTTCCTTCTTTATCTGGTCATTCATTCATCCAGTATTTACTGACTGCTTACTAGGAAGCAAGCACTATGCTAGGTGGTGGGATACAGCAGTAAAGACGCAAAGTCCCCATTCTAATGGTAGAGCAAAATAAACACACATTCAAAATAACTCCAGACAGTTTTCAGTGTTATCAAAAACTAGCGCAGTGGCAAAGGGCCTCTGGGAAGTGATGTTACTACCTCAGATGAGGTCTTCAGGGGAGGGGTCTTAAACGAGTAAGATGCAAAGGGAGCAGTATGCCAAGGTCCTGGGGAGGATGGGGCATCCCAGGCAGGAAGACCAGTAAGTGCAAAGATCTACTCTTTGGAACCATAGGAGAGTGCTCTTGTGGCCATGATCAGGGAAGGGAGAAGTAGGGACGAGGCTGGAAAGAGCAGGGGCCTTATGTAGACCAGGAATACTTACTTGGGTTGGGTGACACAGCACTAGGCATGATCTAATCCTAATGTATAAGACTCCCACGGTTGGGCTGGAGGAGTGGCTCAAGCTGTAAGAGTGCCTGCGTAGCAAGTGTGAGGCCCTAAGTTCAAACCCCAGTGCCACCAAAATAAAAATGAACCAAAATCCAAAACCCTACTGTTTCTGGAGAATCTATTGTAGGATTAAGAATGGAATTAGGGAGACCAATTAGGAGTCTTTCGTAGTTATCCAGTGAGATATGAGGGTAACTCAGACCAGAGGCACCACTGATTTTTTTGTGGGGGGGATAGTACTGTGGTTTGAACTCATGGCCTCACACTTGGTAGGCAGGCGTTCTACCACTTGAGCCACTGCTCTTTTTTGTGTTGGGTATTTTTGAGATAGGGTCTCGAAAACTATTTGCCTGGGCTGGCTTTGAACCTGGATCCTCCTGATCTCTGTCTCTTGAGTAGCTAGGATTACAGATACAGGCCACAGGCGCCTGGCTCATACATACATCTCGGACAGGTACCTCCTAGGTTTGTTATTGATTTTAATGGCATGAACATGCTATGTCTTCATAGATACTGCCAGTTTTTGCTTAGGAAGGGCTATTCCAATTTCTCCTTTCACTACCTCCTTAGCATCTATTTCTTCATACTCTCGCCACCAGCGGACATCTCATACCTCCTGCCCAGTCTGAGCTAAAAATATTTCTCTTTGTTT